TGCGGTGGCCGGGAGCAGCCACTGCACTCCAGTCTGGGCGACAGAGTAAGACTCCAACTCAAAAAAAAAAAAGACGAGCTCTGCCTTGTGGGAGGCAAAACCTTTCAGAACTTCCCCAGCTAGACGGAGAAGGAGTCGGAGGTGAACCCCATCTCTCATCCAAGTCCTTGCTCTAGACTTTAATGACAAGTTTAATAAAGGCGCTTTAGACCCGGGGAGGTGGAGCGTGCACACCTGCAGTCCCAGCACTTTGGGAGGCTGAGGCGGGAAGATCACTTGAGTCCAGGAGTTGGAGGCTGCAGTGAGGTATGAGTTTTAAGTGGGCAGCTGCTACCGCAGTCCAGGCCAGCATGCCATGCCCAATTTGGTGGGGAGACAGCTTCCTGGTGGCTCACAGCTCTCCACTGCCCCGTGTATCTTGTTTTCCTGTGAGGAAGTTGAATGAAAGCCTCTTCCCAAGGGAGCACCACCTTCCTGCATAGCTGTGGTTCCTGGGGACTGGCCTGGGACTTTACATGGCGATAGCTTTTGCTGCTATCCCTGTGCCCACAGGCAGTAGGGCCTTGCTGCTGCCCAGGGCACCTTCCCAGTGGGAAGGAGAGTAGCTGTGCCATCTTTGTTCCCTGTCTCATGTGGAGATATTTCCCACCGTCAGGGCCATGGGTTTCACGAGCTAACCCCTGGCGAGCATCGTGGCAAGTGCTGCCCATGGTGCATTCTGGGGCCTTCCTGATAATGGCTGATTGCACACCTCAGCCTGTGTGCCCTTGTTCAACTGTGAAGGTCACTTCTCGTGTGGGCCTGTCACCTGCCAGCCCTCAGTCCTCCCCATGCACCCCTTCCAGAGCCTTTTGCAATGACGCTCACTTCTTTAGGTTTCTGGTGTCTGAACAGAATTAAAAGCATGAGCACGTGCAAAAATAATCCGCTTCCCAAGATAGCAAGTGCTGAGAAGTTCTATATTGGAACACACGGCGAGTGCTGACTGGCTGGTGTGATTAACCTAATAGGCTTACGCGCCACTCGCCTCGGCATCTGTCGGGACGGAGCACAGCCCGGACCCTGACCCGCCAGACCGAAGCCTCCAGGACCGGCCGCTGCTGGCTCCCACCGAGGCCTGAGACAGGCGACCCCGGATGACGGCGCCGTGGCCCCTCCCGCGGGGTTGAGGAATGCGGAACACTGGCTCCCGGCTGAGAACGCCAGATCACGGGCTCCAGGGGACACCGAGCCACCCAGGGTGCCTGCTTTGGACAAGGTGCCAGACCGGAAGATGATCGCGGGCTGAGCCATGGGGTGCACACCCTCACACAGCGAGTTCGTGAACAGCGTGGCCAGAAGCGGCATTCAGTTTCTGAAGAAACCCAAAGCGATCTCGCCAGGGCGCCAGGGGGCCGGTGACAGAGGCTCCATCCCTTGGCTGATTAAACACTCTGCCTGCTATGTCGCCGGGGGGCTCCTGGCAGAGGGGTTGCCCCAGCCTGGGAGGGGCCCCGCTGCAGCCGTGGGAGACCCTACTTCAGGCAGGAGGAGCGACTCAGAGGGATTGACCCCGGGCCCCAGGACGCCTCCTTCCAGGCGGGACAAGCCACATAGCCACATGGCCGAAGCCACCTCGCTCGAGACTCGGGCCGCCCGCCACTCGGGGAATGAAAGGGAAGAAGGTGCCACCCAGGACACCACTGGGGGAAGGCCAGGCAGACCGGGCCTCGGCCACAGAGCCAAGGGCAAGGTGGACTTCCCTGACCCCCTGGTGAGGGCCCACCGGCGCGCCTACGCCTGCCTGCACGCCAGCCTCGCCAAGTACGACGCGGTCCTGGGCCTCGCACGCCGGGCTGCCCAGACGCGGGAGCTGCTGCGGCCCATGCTGGGCTTCCTGCTGCTGTGCTTTGAGGAGATCGGCCAGCTGCTGGGGGACGTCGCCAAGGATGGGGAGGGCCTGCTGGAGGGCGTGCGGGAGGGGCTGGCCTGGCCACGCAAGGGCGAGCCTGGGGAGCAGCCGGACCTTCTGCAGCAGCTGCTCCAGTATACGGTGGACCGACTGCGCGGCCTCCACGGTGCGGTGGCCTCCCTCACCGGGGGCCTCCTGGAGGGCTCGGGTGGATACCTCCACTCCGCAGCCAGGCGCCTGGAGGACAAGCTGAGCGCCAAGAGGAGCGCGGACGACCGCCTGCTGAGGGCACTGGGGCAGCTGGAGAGCCTGGCCAGCGGCCAGGGCGGTCCCGGGGGCCAGGGCCTTCCCCTGTGCTCGGAGGACAGTGGCATTGGTGCCGACAGTGAGTCTGTGCAGTCCGTGGACAGGCTGGGCCGGCAGGCCAGCTGGGACCTGGTCGCCGAGTCCGAGGAGTGGAAGTCGGGGGCGCCACCCGGCACAGAGGCCGGGCCGTCAGGACCCTCCACCCAGCAGGGCCTGGCCTGGACGGGCTTCGACGGGCCCCAAGACTGCCCGCTCTCCAGGCCTCCTGGGGCAAAGGTCCAGCCCGTGGCAGTGGATGGTGCAAGGAACCCAGGCCCTGTGGGTGCTGGCCCAGAACCCATCGTCCCTGGGGCTGTGGATCGGGGAAGAAGCCCCCCGCATGAAGTCATCGGAATCGGGGTCCCCGTGGAAGCCCGTCCTCCTGAAAGCTCCGGGTCAGTGGGAGGGGCCTCCCCTAGCGAGGGCGAGGACAGCAGCCCAGAGGAAGAGGACGACGACATCAGCGGCCTGAGTCTGTGTGCGTGGCAGGAAAGAGCCCCACGGGCCAGGCCGCGCTCGTCGCCTGGGGACCGGGAAGGCCTGTTCCAGCCGCGGCCTGGGAGGCTCAGGAGCCCGCAGGCCCGGGAGATGGTCCTGAAGATGAAGGCGGCCATCAGCGAGAGGATCAAGTTTGTCCCCGTGCCCGCGGGGCACCAGGACTGGACCGAGGAGGACGAGGGGCGGGCACAGGTGCCCCCGAGGCCTCGCACGGTCAGTGGCAACCGGGGAGCCCCTGAGAGGCAGAGGCGGTCCCAGTCGGAGCCGAGCCTTGAGAGCCACGGGGAGGACGCCACCCTGCAGGAGCTGCGGAGGGCCCAGGGAGACCTCAGCCGGCGGCTGGAGGCCTTTTACGCCCTGGGGGACCAGGGGCCGGGGCGGGGCCGGGCGGCCCTGTGGTCCCACAGCAGCCGGGTCAGCCCCAGCAGCACCACCAGCCGGCTCAAGGCGTCCCTCACACGCAACTTCAGCCTCCTGCCCAGCCCGGACAAGAGCATCGTGCACAGGTGCAACCCCCACCTGGAGGCGCCGCCCTCGAGCGCCATAGCCGGGGAGGACTCTGAGGCCCCGCCTGCCAGGACCTCCGTCAGGAAGCTCATTGAGACATTCAGTCCCACCGCCAAGAGCCTGGGGACACCAGGGGAGGCAAAGCCCTCCGGGCCGGGCCCCAGCCTCCGGAAGTGGGGGGTCCCTAGCATGCCTCCCAGATTTCCTATCTACAGGGGGCTCGCCCCTTTGTATCCCAAACCCCAGATCTCTCCTGCACCAGGCAGAGAGCCTTCCAGAGCGGGCATGGGCTGGAGGCCCCTGGGCCCGGTCTTTCCCCCACTGCCGGCAGCAGGAGCCACAGAGACTGTGGGCAGCAGTTGTGGGGAGGACTCGGACCCAGAGCATCTGCCTCCCCCGCCCCCGGAAGTCCTGCTGGACAAATCCTTTACATCCCTGGAATCCCCAGAAGGCGACAAGCCAGCAGCAAGCACCCCAGCGCACTCCTCCAAGGAAGCCCAAGAGTCAGGGCCAGGAGGCACGGGCCCCACCAGGAAGACGTGGGCAACTCCGAAGTTGAGGGCCACCATAAGCCCCATGGACCTGCTGCCCAGCAAGGGCACCGCCAGCCCCACGAAGCCCCGCAGCACAGGCCCGAGAGGCGGCAGGAGCGGTGGCCACCCCAGAAGGTTTTCCTCAGACCCTGGCCAGCTGCCAGCCACCCGCCACAGCCCCGACGGGGAGGGTGGGGCCCAGAGGCAGGCACAGGCGGAGAAAGCTACCAGCCTCCCCAGGCAGCCCTGGAAGCCAGGACCCTGGCACCACTCGGGCCCCGCCACTGGGCCAGGCAGGAGCTGGGAGCCTGGCCCAGC